AGACATACACACACTGTGTGTGTGTGGAGAGAGAGAGAAAAATAAATAAATAGACAAACAAATAAGTAGATAGATATAGACAACTATAAATACAGCAGATGGTATAGCGGCTCTTGAAGCCATGGTAGACAACCTGGCAGCAGAATGTTCGAAAATACGTGAAGACGTAAATTTGAAGGAATTGGTAGATAATTTACGCAGGAACACAACCATTCAGAGAAAGAATACTGAAAAGTCTTACATGAAAATCAAAGAACTCAAGGAAAATGTGGAAGAAATAGAAACCAAGATTGGCAACAGTAGTCAAATCGAGGCAAAAAATCTGCAAGAAAAAGTTGAAGAAGTAATCAAAAGTACAGGAAACTGTTAAGCAGACTGAAAGCAATTTGTCAAGCAGCCAGTCTCAAATAACGGAAGAGGCAAAAAAGATGACAGCTACATATACCCATGTATCTAAAGTATAGGAAACTGTAAGTGAAATGCAAACACGATAAAAAAAAAAGAATCTAAGTCACACCCTGGGCAACACGTAGGGAATTTTGCAAATTTGGCTGATGTAAACAAGGACATTGTCATATTGGGACACGAAGAAAAAGTTGTAGAAGAAGACAAGAAGTTGACTGTCAATATTCTCAAGGTCAGAAATCACGAATTCTCGGAGCGGAATATCATAGCCCACAAGAGGTTGGGATTATTCGAAAAGGGAGAGAAACGCCCTTCAAAGGTGACATTCATGAATAAACAAATGGCAATTGATGTAATAAAGAAAAAGAAAACTGGTGTAATAAAGAAAGTCCTGGCCACACACGCAAATATAAGAAAATCTGGTTGAGAGAAAATATGACCAAAGATGACAAAGAAATACTGCAGAAAAAAATGGAAGAGTTAAAAAACAAAAACGAACAAAGGACTGAAGAAGAAAAAACTTGTTCATTTGAAGGGTGAGAGGTCTCCCAGCAACACAGGTTTAACTATCGAAACCAAAATGTGGAGACAGACAATCATTAGCTTTGCAGCCAAAAGGAATACGGAAAAATTATGTAGAAATAGTTTATACAAATATAAATGGTTTATGTTCGAAGTTACTAGAACTAGATGCAATTATTGAAAGTAATAAACCAAATGTAATATACATCACTGAATGCAAACTGGATCCCTCCGTAGACTTAGAGTCTACAATATTTGGAGAAAAGATAGGGCAAATGGAAATGGAGGGGGGTAGCAATATTAACAAGGAAAGGAATTATTATAAAGGAGATAGAGATTTAACGAGATTCTAATCGAGGAAGAAACAAACGGAATAACTATAAAAATAACTACGTCACTTCATACATCGGTGTGGTCACAAGAAAATTACCAAAAAGCTATTCACAAGAAACGCTAAAGAGCCTGGAAGAAGTGCTACAACCTTCGGAAACTAATGCAAAAGAAATTCTTGTAACTGGGGATTTTGATAGCCAAATTGACTGGGAAAGATTCGATCCCAGAGCTCAGCCAGATTCGTTGAATGCAAAATTACTAGAAGTCATAAAGGAATTTTATCTCTTCCAGAATGTAACAGATCATACCAGGATAAGAGGACTAGACAGACCGTCTATGCTCAACCTAATATTTACAAAGCATAAAGGTGCCATTAAGGATATGGATCACTGCCCTCCTCTTGGAAAAAGTGATTATGTAGTAATTAAGTTGAAATACTGTCTGCTACAGGAAAAAACTCATCGAAAGTAAGGAAAGTACAATTACAAGAGGTTATTATAGAGGCCTTAAAGATTTATTTGATGGCATAAACTGAGAAACCCTCCTGAACGAAGAGTCTATAAGCAAGGAGTAGAAAATTTAGTATCAGGATTCAAAACTGAAGCAAGAAATGGCCAAAAGTGGTTCAATGATAAATGCAAGAAAATGAGAGAAAACAAACAACTCCTTTAGAGAAGGTTCAGAAGACACTGACCTCAGGCAGCGCATGAAAGGTATAAAATGGGAAGAAATGAGTATACCCAAACCATGAGGGAGGCGAAACCAGACTTTGCAAAGGATATCATCAATAAATGTACAAACCAACCAAAGCTCTTATTTAACTACATAAACAGTAAGACTAAAAGTAGACATCAAATTAGCGCCATCAAAGACAATAACATCGTTTACACTAAGGAAGAGGAATTGTGTGAAAACCTTAATGAGAATTTTCAGTCAGTGCTTGTTCAGGACCCATACTTTGAAATGGCAAGTAACCGTACAAACGTAAATCAGAATATCCAAAATATCACACTCGAAAAGAATTAAACAAATGACCTACTGAAAGGATTAGACAAGACTAAAGAAGAGGAACCAGATGAGATATCTAACTGGATTCTGAGGGAATGTGCCGAAGAATTATGTACTCCGTTATTGTTAATATTCCAAAATTCAGTGAGACAAAACTACCCAATGATTGGAAACTTGCCAGCGTTACACCTTTATACAAGGACGGCGACAAACAAAACCCTCTAAATTATAC